AGTTAAAAATCAAGTCATAATCCAAACCGTTTATGACCTTATCACCCTACTTGTATTCCCCGACCTATTTGCCAGTTACCAATTACACACTTGTACTTCAAAAATAAATAGGTGATCCCACCACATTAGGGTGTGGTAAAAACCTTACTCGGTGTCCATGGAGTAAAAAAATATTTCCATTGGATGTTTACACCAAACAAGTAGATATAATTAAGATATATGTTTGTACATATACTCATTGCTTAACTGTATTGAGTAATTAATGCATATTTTCACTAAATTAAATCACCGAACTATAATAAATTTAGTTTGTTTGGTGTAAATATATGACACAAATAAGTATCTACCAAGGGTGTTTTCCTTCAAAAAAATTTAGTAAACTTTATTTTATAGTAGCATGTTCTTACTGAAGAGTTCAAGGAGGGTCAAAGTGCCGTCCTGTATGCTTTTCAGCTCTTATTTTGAATGATGGGAAGCCCATTTTGTCCAGTCTAAGTTGTCGTCTCTTTCCATTATGATCTTGTAGGGTAGCATGCTTAACCATAACATCTGCTACCCTGTCCCCTTCTCTATAGCAGTGGAATATTTGGAAATTTCTGTTCCTGATTATATCTTGAATCTTCTCCACATCCCTTTGGAGGTGCCATGGAGGTTTGATGTTGTCTTTGATCATCTCGAATAGGATCATAGAATCTAATAGCAAAATATAGTTAACTGGTATATGATTCCTACACCAAGTATCACCAAAAAGAGTTGTATGTGTTTCACAATAATTGTTAGTTGAGAAATGAAGTGGGTTGGCAAAAACCGTGATCATTTTCCTGTTTCTTCTCTTAACCATCCCCCCTGCTCCAGATCCCTACCCTGCTGCTTCCGTCACGGTAGAACTGTCTTGAGAGTTGTTGCAGTGAACCATGCATATTACTGGTGATTCTGCACTTGTAGTTGAGGACAATTCTACATTTTTATCCCAATTCAACTGTTATCTATAAAGTTAAACATTTTACTTATTTGTAAAGGAATTTGGTGTAGATTCTATATTTTCAAATATTCTTATGGGTTATGGCCATACTTTTTCACATCTGGCCTTTCAAATTTCCCAACACACAATGGTAGGAGTGATCTGCAAAAACAGTCTATGCACCAAATTGTTTGGTTCAGTAGTCCACCAGCTGTTTAAGAAATTATTGATGTTGGAATGTCTGGTGTCAGTCCCTAGAAATCCAGACATCATTCTCCAAGTTTTGGTGGCTATATCACCATGGACAAACAGGTAATTGATAGAATCCTCCTGAGCATTTCTGAGGGGTTTGGCGAGTTTATTAGCATTCTGATTAGCTTGAGATTGTATGCTAATATTACCATTGGAAAAGTTCTTGTATTAGAATGTGAGAAAAAAGTTGAAGCTTAAACAATCAATTTGACGTGTATACCATTAAAGGTACTAGTTTCAAGTAGTAAGAGATCCCTTTATTTCAAGCCTCTATAGTAGCAAACACTGAAAAATCCCTATACTATTTTCCTTTTGGTGGTGTACAGGGGATCGATCTATAATGAGAAGTAACAACCAAATCCTGTTATTTATTAAGGAGTTCAAGTAATAAACATGGTTAGTATAAGAAAATTTCACATTATTGAGTCAGTTTCATGTATTATAGTAGGTGACTTATTTTATTTCTAAGATTACAAATCTTACATTTTAAGGAGTTTTAATGTAGTTTTATCTCATATAAAAGTGATCTGATGGTTTACATTCTATATACTGACAATCTAGATTACTTAAAAAAAATATTCACTCTTTTCATCCCTATATTACTATATTTTTTTTCTTCTCTTTGCATCTACATCTTCATTTTTTTCTCTTTGTATGGTGCATTGACTTCTCTTAGTTTTCCAAGATAATTGCATGTGGCTTTTTGTCTAACAGAACCCTTCTCTCTCATAATTTCCTTAGTTTTCTAACAAGTTAAATGCTTACTTTAACAATTAATGTTTTCCTTATTCACTTGTATAGTGAAATCCAAACATCATGTTAAATTTTTCATATCTTGTTTAATTAGGAATTGCCGGAATCTCAAAGAGCAGATGCTGTAAGCAGCATGGTGTACGAGGCAAATGCTAGACTGAGGGATCCTGTATATGGTTGTGCAGGGTCAATTTTCCATCTACAAAAGTAAGTGAGTGATCTCCAAGCACAATTGGCAAAGGCACAAGCTGAGATTGTCAACATGCAATGCCAACAAGTTCATCTCTTGGAACTAATTTGCATGGAAATGGGCCAATCTCCACAAGCAATATCACCACCACAACAATCTTTGGACAATTTCACTCATAATATTCGTACAAGCTTCTTAGATGATGATAACTCTGGATCAGTGTGGGAGGCCCTATGGACATGACGATTAAAGATCAAAACTCAAAATGCTCTCGGTGAAAGGAAACTGAATTGTAATATAAATTGAGCCAAATCTTCAAAGATTTGTGTTAATGTTTATTCAGGTACTTTTTTTCGTAATATGATTCTGATAAGAGCACATGAAACAGATGGTGATGTTTGAAGATGCATTGAGGTGAATCTTAAGTATCCTATCTTGATTTAACTGATGCCATAGATGTTGACAGTGTATGTTGTTGATTGACATGGTAATATTGAGGGCTGGTTTCCATTCAGGCACCAAAAGAGTTTCAGTTGTGGACTGTGTAATCAGTGAAAAGTCCAATGTTTGTAGGCACAAGACTTGTCAAGTTTGCCATTACTGCTTCTGGTGATGTTTCTTGCTTGAGGTCAACCCCGACGTAGCACAAACAGTTCCTTGTCTATTCAATCATTGGTCATCCAATTGTTAATATGTGCTTCACTGGTGATATTAGGAAAATCATTTTATGAGCTAAAACTTCTCTAAAGAGACATGTGTATGTTTAAATAGGTTGTTTGAAGTTAGACCTTATGCGAGCTCAATTGAAATTTTTATTCATAGCGTAGCTTCCAATTCAACCTTAACCCGAAGGTAGGAGGTGTTGCAATGAGCAACCATTAGACTGCCCTCATTAAAAGGGTAATTCTTTTCAAAGCTTTATTTATACAACTTTTGAAAATATTGATAAAATCTAACTGGTTAGTTAAAAAAGAGACATTTGCGTAAATCAACCTTGAAGATTGATACTAATAGCTATTGAGAGACCACCAAAGTTGTGGTGATAGGATTTCACAAAAGAGAAGTAATTTCTCAATATTTGAAATATGCAAAGTCAAGAGGAATTGAAATTAAATTTGAGCAGCGCAAAGCGTCTATTGCCACTGTGAAGCCAAGGAATCATCTTCAGATCGGGATGAATTTAATTTTAAGATGAAAAAAAAGAAGGTAACAAGAACACTATAGACAAAATCTGGTTTAGGCAGGAATTGGAATATACATTTTGCAGTTGTTTAATCAATAGAAACGGTCTATTACTTGTTAAGTTTTTCTACAATTCTCTTGTGAGTTCTAATATATTGAAATGTTGTAACTGATACCGTAAAACCAAACAATAAAAAGGTTATACAATTACATACAATCTATTCAAAGTAATGCTGATGAATCTTGTCACTTTTCGAATCTCTAGAGTAGTTGGGTAATAAAATTGTCATCTTCTATCTGTATTTGTGCCTTTTTTTTGGTATGACAACTTAAAGCTCGAAAATCAGCACTGAATTGCATCAAAGATGTCGTTAAAACTATGCTAGATTGTAATTCAGCATCAGCTTCTGAGATTGTATCAGGATTTATTCATCATTAACTATGACATAGTCAAACGTTTTCACTCGGCAGTCAGTTCCAGAATCACTTTTGTAGTGAAATAATATGTCGATTGGGGAAGAGTTGTTAACACTTCTTTTACATTTATTTGCAGATTGGTCTATTTGAGTATGCATTTTCTTGGTAAGTGCAGATCATAATCATCTTGAGCATGACCCACCCAATAATTCAAATCCTACTTTCTTAGAATTATATTACTCATTTCCTTTATATAATGGTGGTGTCCACCCAATAATAAATTATTATTGTATGGAATTTGATACTCAAGTCAATAAAAAATAGAGTAAAATATGACAAAGTGAAGAGGGAGACAGCTAAGCTGTGGAAAATTGCTATCATTTTGAAAAGAGAAAAAAGATTGTTTCTCTTTTCTTTCTTTGACCAAATAGATAGTTATTGGTATAGCAATTGCAAATTAAGAACACCATATTGTTTGCATATTGCTCTAGCATTCAACAGGTAAATTCAATCTCTTAATTCCTAGCAAAATTAGACAACCATCTTTAATTTTTGCCATTCTTGTCCATTTTTTGATTCTTTGTTTTGTTTTTTGCAGATTTCAAAAATGGAGATTGGCTTAGCAGTTGGTGGTGCATTTCTCTCTTCAGCTTTGAATGTTCTCTTTGATAGGCTTGCTCCTAACGGTGATCTGCTCAACATGTTTCGGAAACATAAGGATTATGTTCAGCTCTTAAAGAAGCTTAAAATGACTTTGCGTGGTCTTCAGGCCGTGTTAAGTGATGCAGAGAATAAGCAAGCATCAAATCCATCTGTGAGCGACTGGCTTAATGAGCTTCGAGATGCTGTCGACTCTGCTGAGAACTTAGTTGAAGAAGTCAATTATGAATCTTTGAGGCTTAAGGTGGAAGGCCAGCATCAAAATCTTGCAGAAACAAGCAACCAGCAAGTAAGTCACCTCAGCTTGTCCTTGAGTGATGAATTTTTTCTTAACATAAAGGATAAGTTGGAAGAAAATATTGAAACATTGGAGGAGTTGCAAAAGCAAATTGGTTGGCTTGACCTGAAATCGTGTCTTGATTCGGGTAAGCAAGATACTAGAAGACCTTCAACTTCTGTGGTTGATGAATCTGATATCTTTGGTAGGCAGAGTGAAATAAAGGATTTGATTGACCGTTTATTGTCTGAAGATGCAAGTGGAGGAAACCTGACTGTAGTTCCTATTGTTGGAATGGGCGGGAAGTTTGACTGTAATCCCTGTTGTTGGAATGGGGGGCGTGGGCAAGACAACACTTGCTAAAGCTGTTTACAATGATGAGAAGGTGAACGACCATTTTGATTTGAAAGCTTGGTTTTGTGTGTCTGAACAATATGATGCTTTCAGGATAGCAAAAGGATTGCTTCAAGAGATTGTAAGACAGGTTGATGATAATATAAATCAGATTCAGATCAAATTGAAGGAGAGCTTAAAAGGCAAAAAGTTTCTTATTGTTCTAGATGATGTTTGGAATGACAACTATAATGAGTGGGATGACTTGAGAAATCTTTTTGTGCAAGGAGATCTCGGAAGTAAGATCATTGTGACAACACGTAAGGAGAGTGTTGCCTTGATGATGGGTGGTGGGGCAATGAATGTGGGAATTCTGTCTAATGAAGTCTCTTGGGCTTTATTCAAACGACATTCATTAGAAAACAGGGATCCTGAGGAACATCTAGAACTTGAAGAGATTGGAAAGAAAATTGCAGAGAAATGCAAAGGATTGCCTTTAGCTATAAAGACCCTTGCTGGGATGTTACGCTCAAAATCAACGATTGAAGAGTGGAAACGCATTTTGAGAAGTGAAATATGGGAGCTTCCAGACAATGGAATCTTACCAGCATTGATGTTGAGCTACAATGAGCTTCCCCCACATTTGAAGCGATGCTTTTCCTATTGCGCAATATTTCCAAAAGATTATCAATTTTACAGAGAACAAATCATTCAACTGTGGATCGCTAATGGTCTAGTACAGAAGTTGCAAAAAGATGAAACGGTTGAAGAACTAGGCAACCAGTACATTCTCGAGTTGAGATCAAGATCATTGTTAGACAGGGTCCCTGATTCTTTTGCATGGAAGAGAGGGGTAAGGCAGGACTTGGACATATATTCTGAAATGGATGGTGAGAAATTCGTTATGCATGACCTTGTCAACGATCTTGCCCAAATTGCATCTTCAAAACATTGTACCAGGTTAGAAGACATCGAAGGATCTCATATGTTGGAACGAACTCGACACTTGTCGTATTCCACGGGTGATGGTAACTTTTCGCCATTTACAATAGGAGATGGTGATTTTGGTAAATTGAAAACCCTCTACAAATTGGAGCAGTTAAGGACATTGCTTCCGATAAATTTCCGGCTCCATTCGTTTTCAGTTAATCTAAGCAAGAGGGTGCTGCATAACATACTTCCAAGACTAACATTCTTAAGGGCATTGTCATTTTCTCGTTATGACATCAAGGAGGTACCAAATGACTTATTTATCAAATTAAAACTCCTAAGATTTTTGGACCTTTCTTGGACAGAGATAAAACAGTTACCAGATTTAATTTGTGTGTTGTACAACTTAGAGACACTTATCGTGTCGTCTTGTGATTATCTTGAGGAGTTACCGCTGCAGATGGGAAATTTGATCAACTTGCGTTACCTTGACATTAGGCGCTGTTCTCAGTTGAAATTGCCGCTACATCCTAGTAAGTTGAAAAGCCTTCAGGTGCTATTAGGAGTTAAATGTCTTCAAAGTGGTTTGAAACTCAAAGATTTGGGTGAACTACACAACTTGTATGGATCTCTATCAATTGTAGAGTTGCAAAATGTGGTTGATAGAAGGGAAGCTTTGAAGTCAAACATGAGGGAAAAGGAACATATTGAGAGGTTATCATTGTCGTGGGGTAAAAGTATTGCTGACAATTCACAAACTGAAAGAGACATATTCGATGAACTACAACCAAACACAAACATAAAAGAACTGGAAATCTCTGGATATAGAGGGACAAAATTTCCAAACTGGCTGGCTGATCTTTCCTTTCTTAAGCTAGTGATGTTGTCTCTTAGCCACTGCAACAACTGTGATTCCTTGCCAGCACTAGGACAACTTCCTTCTTTGAAATCCCTCACCATTGAGTATATGGATCGAATAACAGAGGTGACCGAAGAATTCTATGGTAGCCCATCTTCAATAAAGCCATTTAACTCTCTGGAATGGCTTGAATTTAATTGGATGAACGGGTGGAAGCAATGGCACGTACTAGGAAGTGGAGAGTTCCCTGCACTTCAGATCCTTTCAATTAACAACTGTCCCAAGTTGATGGGGAAATTGCCTGGAAATCTTTGTTCTTTGACAGGATTGACAATTTCAAATTGTCCGGAATTTATTTTGGAGACACCTATCCAACTTTCAAGTCTAAAATGGTTTAAAGTTTTCGGTTCTTTAAAGGTTGGGGTTCTTTTTGATCACGCTGAGCTATTTGCATCCCAACTTCAAGGAATGACGCAGCTAGAGTCATTAATTATCAGAAGTTGTCACTCTCTTACCTCCTTTCATATTAGCAGTCTGCCGAAAACCTTGAAGAAAATAGAGATATCTGATTGTGATCAATTGAAATTGGAGCCGTCAGCTAGTGAGATGTTTCTCAAGAGTCTGGTACTAACTGAATGTAATTCTATGAATGAGATATCACCTGAGCTGGTCCCAAGAGCACACTATTTGAGTGTAAATAGGTGCCACAGCCTTACTAGGCTTTTGATTCCTACTGGGACTGAAGATCTCCATATTTCTGGATGTGAAAATCTTGAAATGCTTTTGGTGGCATCCAGGACTCCAACGTTGCGAAATTTGCATATTCACAGCTGCAAGAAGCTGAAGTCGCTGCCAAAACATATGCAGGAACTTCTTCCATCTCTTAATTATCTCAACCTGTATGATTGTCCAGAAATAAAGTCCTTCCCTGAAGGAGGCTTGCCTTTCAGTCTAGAAGTCCTTCAGATCTGGAATTGTGAGAAACTGGAGAATGATCGAAAGGAGTGGCATTTACAGAGACTCCCTTGCCTCAGAGAACTTAAAATCTTCCATCATTCTACTGACGAAGAGATTGATTGGGAGTTGCCTTGCTCAATTAAATCACTTGTCATATACAATATGAAAACATTAAGCAGCCAACTTCTCAAAAGCCTCACCTCTCTTGAATCTCTATCCACTGATAATTTACCTCAAATCCAGTCACTGATCGAAGAAGGGCTTCCCTTGTCTCTTTCTTCACTAACATTACAATACCATCATGAGCTCCATTCACTGTCAACTGAAGGTCTTCGGGGCCTCACTTCTCTTAGGCATCTACAGATTAGATCCTGCAGTCAACTCCAATCTCTTCCGGAATCAGCGCTTCCCTCCTCCCTCTCTGAGCTGACCATCACAAATTGTCCTGAACTTCAACATCTTCCAGTAAAAGGGATGCCCTCTACCCTCTCTAAACTATCGATTTCACACTGCCCATTGCTCAATCCACGTTTAGAATTTATGAAGGGGGAATACTGGCCAAATATTGCTCATATTTCCACTATAGAGATCAATGGGGAATACCTGTGATGATCAAAACAAATGGTACTCTGACAGATGTAAGAACTCTTTTTATCTCAGTAGCTTTTTATTGTTCATTACTTCTCTTTGCTTGTTTGTTGAGTTTTTTCCTTTGTTATATTGAAATCTTCCCAGAGGTTGAAATCAATCTTTAAAAGAACAAGTTGGACTTTAAGCAACTTTATTGATAACCATGATCATTTTCATGTTCTATGAAATTATATTTTTTATCAGATCTGATATTTCAAATCCTTGAATGAATTCTATTGTAACGGTTTGTTCATTATGATAATTTATTTTAATATTATGTTGACATTAGATATTATTGTACGAAAATGCTTTGTTTGGGACCTAAAGCCGGTGATTTCTTCATACTTAAAGCTTTGAACATCTAGATTATATGTATTGGAAGCACATATATATAAAACAATGGTTGTTGCATGACCTACCAATAAAAATAAATTTATTCATGTAAAAATCTAAGTTGCAAATAAAAACATTTTAATTTTCGTATTATATTCATGCTTTAGATAAGTTATTTTATTGTTTTATGTATAATTATTATTATTTAAAAAAATTTCCTTGTTATCATATTAAATATCATATTTTTTCCTGTTGTTTTTAACACGTCATGAGATCAAAAGAGAATTATTAAGAAATTGCAATCGAAGTTTGTAATTGAAGATGTTTTGATCTAATATATATATACTCAACAGTTAACGCAATATACCGCTAGGAGTGTAAATCACATATAGCCAACCGTTTGATGCAATATTAATTAATTTTGTTTAGCTTTGGTTGCATGTTATATTATTGTTGGTTTGGCAATTTTCATTTTAAAGAAAATTATTAGCTTGTAGACTTCACAATTTATAATGTGTTTTAGTTTCTATTTGAGGAATCAATTATTGAATAGGCAGTGAGAAAATCGCCTTTCGTGATTCAAGTAGTAAGCTCGGGTTCATGATTGAGAAAGGAATTTTTCAAGTGTAATTTGAAATTTTCTACTATTCTTAACATCTCATTATAAAGATTTTTTTAAATTATTTTATTTGATTAAATATAGTTCTTACAAAATATAACACGATAATCATGTTTCAATTTTAACGTCTATCAGTAATTCAATACAAACTTTATAAAATAGAAATATAATTAAAAATTAAACTAATCTAACAGTTTCTTAAAATTCATCCTTTTAACTATAATTCTCCAAATTAAGAAATCCTCACACCATTAACAAAATGCTACACCTTATATGTAGCTTTCCAATCTTTTCAGTTACCAATGTGGAGCTTTGTTCGCATGCCTATTAGCAGTCTGTCAACTTCGAGGCCTCATGTTGCTTCGATATCTAGCTATCTGGGACTGCCATTATCTCCATTTTGAATTGCTCATTTTTCCACCATAATTATTGATAGGGATACCAGTAATGATTTAGAGAAATGGTGCTCTGATATATGTAATTATAATTCTTTCTTTTTTCATTATTCATTTATTTTTATCAACTTCTCCTTGCTTGTTAGTTAATTCTTTTCCTTTGTTAAATCTTTAAGCAGCGCAAAGCGTCTATTAATGAACTAGTAATCTTGTCAGCAGGATGTTTATCGTCTTGTATTTTCATCTCATTTGCAATTCATGAATTCTTGTTAATTATATATATCACTCTTCATCTTACTTAAAATATTAACACTATTTCACAGTATCTCTTTTCTTAATGTAATATCAATGAGCTAGTAATCTTTTAAGATTATTGTTTCTTGTATTTTAACCTATGTTCTCCCTCAAAATCTCTCAGTCTGGGAAAATTTTTGCCATCATGAAAAGTTGTTCGGCATTGTTCCCCATTTCTTGTGTCTTCCACAGGGATAAGGGGTCCAGGTTTTCTTCCAACATATCACAATAAGTTGTGGACGGAGGAAGTGGTTTAGAGTAATGCACATGCTAACTTTTGAATAGGCAAATATTTAGCTCAACTGTGATCGGTCAACAGAATGTAGGTGCAGAAAGGTACTTTCTCTTTTCGCTGGAATTTGACACTACTACTTTTCTTTTATCTGACTGAGAAGTGAAATATTGAGCAAACTTTTGTACAAGGAGTTTCTCCTATAGCACGTGAAGATCATTTCTATTCTCTTCTCTTCTGTCAGCAGCTCAACAAAGTACAAGGTTCGATTGATCAGTTTCTCTGCCAAGATACGATGTCATTTCCTCATCGAGACAGCTGAAGTTTGCCACCAGAACCAATGCTAGAATTCCTTCCATCTACCGAAAGAATGGTAGGCATTTCAATCTCAGAAAAATAGGATATTTTTGTGTATTAAACTCTGATTGTTGTTGTTCACTGCTACAGCTGCTCTTCAAAATTGAGAAACTTTAATTGCTCAAATGCCCATTTTATCATTTTGTGTTCGAGTAATTTTAACTGTTGTGGTCTTTATCAGGTAAACATTTGGATCGTGAGAGTTCCTTCTAGTTGTATGTCTAAGATGTGCTCCTCAAACTCAAAAGAATGACTGCTTAAAACGGTTGGCTTGAAATGCTGAACCTGCATTTAGACCAGCAGTGCTACAAGGTCAAGTTGGTATGTCCAGATGGTGTCGTCCACGTGTTTGGTAATACTTCCATCCTCAACATTGCTCTGTTGTGTGAGAGTTTGTAGCATCAGATGGAATTTTATTTTGTATGTTGTATATGATCTTAGTTGAGTTGAAGCAGCAAATATTGCTATGTTGTCCTTGAGAATGTTCAGGATTGAGATTACAAGTGAAGTTAGTTTAGTATAATTACGAAAGACAAAGTTGGACCACTTTATAGTGACGGACATCTTTTTGGCTGCTATAATGAATGATTGCTATTGTTACACACCTTAATAATATTTGACGTTTAGATCTTATTTGGTGGTTATTGATAAAAGAAATATGCAAGAAGTCATTTCCTCTTGACTTTTTATGTTATAGAAGAAAACAAAATACTTAACAGGGTAAAGACATAAAATCCGTCTGAACTTGTCCTGAAAAGTCGAATATATTGTGGCAACCTATGAATTTTTCTAGAGCAAAAGAGGGTGCCTTTCTGCTTGGGCTATCTTTTCATAGTATTTGATTTCATCAAATAAAGAGAAAATTATAAAAGGAATACTTTTAAAACACATTAATTTCAAGAAAAAAAAAACCCAACTCAAAGTAAACAATTAGTAGGAAGTTTCTGGTCATTTTTTAAAGCTAATGCTAGTTGATTGAAGAGACCAATCGTATGAAGGTCGTTGAATTAAATTAATAGGAGATTAGTGTAATCATTGAATTAAATCAAATGACTTTTTAAAAAATAAATTTAAGTGTTGAAAACAAGACAATGTAGTGGTTAGATTTTAACTTCAAAAAAGGCATCTTCTATGAAAAATTATTTAAAAAACAGTTTGTTATAACCACTACTTATAATTTACTCATTTACCTTTATATAATGGTGGTGTCCACCAATAATTTATTATTATTGTATGGAATTTGATAATCAAGCCAAAAGTTACAAGTTTGATTCAATTAAAATATAACAAGTTCTGTTATTTTTAGTTTTTTAATATATATGCCTCAAAGTGAAGAAGGACACAGCTAAGAGAGAAAAGTCATTCTCCAAAATTGGTATAACAATTGCAAATTAATTAGCAGACAGTCAGTATATTGTTTGCATATTGCTCTAGCATTCAACAGGTAAATTAAATCTATTACTAGTAGAAATATTAAACCATTTTGTGATTCTTTGTTTTGTTTTTCAGGTTTCAGAAATGGAGATTGGCTTAGCAGTTGGTGGTGGCATTTCTCTCTTCAGCTTTGAATGTTCTCTTTGATAGGCTTGCTCCTAAGGGTGAGCTGTTCAAGGTGTTTCAGAAGCATAATTAAAAATCTGTAATTTAGTAGTGGATTGAACATTTTAAGAGAAATCAAAATATAAATAAACATAAGAATTAGGCAAATAAGTTCAACTTATAATGTATTCATAAATAAAAATTATATTTATAAAATGCAATTTTTTAATAGAAAAATATAATATCATAAAACCAATGAATAATTAAGGTTGTGAATATTGTTAAAAATTATGTTAATATACATGAATGTATAAAAGAGAGTTTAAGGGTGGTATTTTTGTTATTTTACATACTTTATCCCAGGATAAGTTATGTCGGGTTACTATTCCACCCCAGGAGGGATAACTTATCCCAAGACTAATTGTTAATCTTGGGATAATTTATCCCAGCCTTTATAACCAAACAACGAATTAAAGGGCACTAAAAAATTATTCTAGGATTAATTCCTTTTATCCATCACACCAAATGATCCCTTATTCTTAAAAATTATATCATGCATATTATTTGACAATGACAAACCAATAAATCAGCAAAACTAATCATTTCATAACTTATCTCGGCATAACTTATCATATGATAACTAATCCTAACATAACTTGTCTTCAAACCAAACGATCCCTAATGGGCACTAAAAAATACTCCTGAATTAACTCGTCTTATCCATCACACCAAACGACCCCTTTCCCGTTATCTCTTGCTTCAATTATTAAATTGAGTAATGAATAGTCATACTTTTGGAAAAGAGAAAAAAAGGACAATAGTTAATAGTAGCAGACATAGTTGTACCAATTACAAGTAAAACCACTAGCAAGAGAGAGAGAAAGAAATCAGTGATCATTCATATTTGCAAATTACTCTTATCATTCAAGAGGTAAAATAAAGCTCTTAGTAAAGAAACAGTAATCTTCTCCAAATTCTTATAATCATTTTGGGGTTTCCTGTTTTGCTTTGCAGATTTCAGAAATGGAGATTGGCTTAGCAGTTGGTGGTGCATTTCTCTGTTCAGCTTTGAATGTTCTCTTTGATAGGCTTGCTCCTAATGGTGATCTGCTGAAGATGTTTAAGATGGACAAGCGTGATGTTCGGCTCTTAAAGAAGCTGAGGATGACTTTGCTTGGCCTTCAGGCTGTGTTAAGTGATGCAGAGAATAAGAAAGCATCAAATCCATATGTGAGCCAGTGGCTTAATGAGCTTCAAGAAGCTGTGGACGGCGCTGAAAACTTAATAGAAGAAGTCAATTATGAGGTTTTGAGACTAAAGGTGGAAAGTCAGCATCAAAATCTTGGAGAAACAAGCAATCAACAGGTAAGTGACTGCAACCTGTGCTTGAGTGATGATTTTTTTCTTAACATAAAGGATAAGTTGGAAGACACCATTGAAACGTTGGAGGAGTTGGAAAAGAAAATTGGTCGCCTAGATCTAACCAAGTATCTCGATTCGGGTAAACAAGAAACAAGGGAATCTTCAACTTCTGTTGTTGATGAATCTGATATCTTAGGCAGGCAGAATGAAATAAAGGAACTGATTGACCGTTTGTTGTCTGAGGATGGAAACGGAAAAAATCCGACTGTAGTTCCTGTTGTTGGAATGGGGGGCGTGGGCAAGACCACACTTGCTAAAGCTGTTTACAATGATGAGAAAGTAAAAAAACATTTTGGTTTGAAAGCTTGGATCTGTGTGTCTGAACCATATGATATTGTCAGAATAACAAAGGAGTTACTTCAAGAAGTTGGTTTAACGGTTGATAACAATCTGAATCAACTTCAAGTCAAATTGAAGGAAGGCTTAAAGGGAAAAAAGTTTCTTATTGTCCTAGATGACGTGTGGAATGAAAACTATAAAGAGTGGGATGACTTGAGAAATCTTTTTGTACAAGGAGATGTAGGAAGTAAGATCATTGTGACGACACGTAAGGAGAGTGTTGCCTTGATGATGGGTTGTGGAGTAATCAATGTGGGGACTCTGTCTAGTGAAGTCTCTTGGGCTCTATTCAAGCGGCATACATTTGAAAATAGGGATCCTGAGGAATATTCAGAATTTCAAGAGGTTGGAAAACAAATTGCAAAACAAGTGCAAAGGATTGCCATTAGCTCTAAAAGACACTTGCTGGCATTTTACGCTCCAAAATTCGAGGTGAATGAGTGGAGAGACATTTTAGGAAGTGAAATATGGGAGCTGCCACGTCATTCAAATGGAATCTTACCAGCATTGATGTTGAGCTACAATGATCTTCGTCCACATTTAAAGCAATGTTTTGCTTTTTGTGCAATATATCCAAAAGATCATCTGTTTAGCAAAGAACAAGTTATTCACCTGTGGATTGCTAATGGTCTTGTACAGCAGTTGCATTCAGCTAACCAATACTTTCTCGAGTTGAGATCGAGATCATTGTTTGAAAAGGTCCGAGAGTCTTCTGAATGGAATCCGGGGAATTCTTAATGCATGACCTTGTCAATGATTTGGCCCAAATTGCATCTTCAAATCTGTGTATCAGGTTGGAAGAGAACCAAGGATCTCATATGTTGGAACAAACTCGACACTTGTCATATTCAATGGGTGATGGTGATTTTGGTAAACTGAAAACCCTCAACAAATTGGAGCAATTGAGGACATTGCTTCCCATCAATATCCAGCTGCGTTGGTGCCATCTTAGCAAGAGGGTGCTGCATGACATATTGCCAAGACTAACATCTTTGAGGGCACTATCATTGTCTCATTATAAGAATGAGGAGTTGCCAAATGACTTGTTTATTAAATTAAAGCACCTAAGGTTTTTGGACTTTTCTTGGACAAATATAAAAAAGTTGCCAGATTCAATTTGTGTACTGTACAACTTAGAGACACTTCTCTTGTCATATTGTAGTTATCTTAAGGAGCTACCTCTGCATATGGAAAAATTGATCAACTTGCGTCACCTTGACATTAGCGAAGCTTATTTGACGACACCCCTACATCTAAGCAAGTTGAAAAGTCTCCATGTGCTAGTGGGAGCCAAGTTTCTTCTAAGTGGTCGTAGTGGTTCGAGAATGGAAGATTTGGGTGAACTGCATAACTTGTATGGATCTCTATCAATTCTTGGGTTGCAACATGTGGTAGATAGAAGGGAATCTCTGAAGGCAAACATGAGGGAAAAGAAACATGTTGAAAGGTTATCTTTGGAGTGGAGTGGAAGTGATGCTGACAATTCACGAACTGAAAGAGACATACTTGATGAGCTACAACCAAATACAAACATAAAAGAACTCCGAATAACTGGCTATAGAGGAACAAAATTTCCAAATTGGCTAGGTGATCCTTCATTTCATAAGCTAATAGACTTGTCTCTTAGCAACGGCAAAGACTGTTATTCCTTGCCAGCGCTAGGACAGCTTCCTTGTTTAAAATTCCTTACCATTAGAGGGATGCATCAAATAACAGAGGTGACTGAAGAGTTCTATGGTAGTTCATCCTCCACAAAGCCATTTAATTCTCTTGAGCAGCTTGAATTCGCAGAGATGCTGGAGTGGAAGCAGTGGGGTGTACTGGGGAAGGGAGAGTTCCCTGTACTTGAGGAACTTTCGATTGATGGTTGCCCAAAGTTGATTGGGAAGTTGCCTGAAAATCTTTCTTCTCTGAGAAGATTGAGGATATCAAAATGCCCTGAACTCAGTTTGGAGACACCTATCCAACTTTCAAATTTGAAAGAATTTGAAGTTGCTAATTCTCCTAAGGTTGGAGTTGTTTTTGATGATGCTCAATTGTTTACGTCTCAACTTGAGGGAATGAAACAGATTGTTAAATTAGATATTACTGATTGTAAGTCTCTTGCCTCCTTACCTATTAGCATTCTGCCGAGTACCTTGAAGAGAATAAGAATCTCTGGTTGTAGGGAACTGAAATTGGAGGCGCCGATCAATGCTATTTGTCTGAAGGAATTGTCTCTAGTAGGATGTGATTCACCCGAGTTTCTCCCGAGAGCACGCTCTTTGAGTGTAAGAAGTTGCAACAACCTTACTAGGTTTTTGATTCCTACTGCCACTGAAACAGTCAGTATT